TTAAACAGAAACAAAATTATACAATAGAAACTATTCTTAAGTCTTGAGATCTTCCTTTTAAGCCTAGCTTCATCACAAAATCCAAAAGGTATTATTAGGTTGTCAAGAATTCCTTCAGCTGTTTACATTAAAACAGCTTGTTCTACTTATTTTCACTCCTCTTTTTCCCAGTGAAGGTTAGTTGTCTGCCGCCTCTGCCGTTCATTATTGTTCCTTGCACAACGGCGGCGAGTGCTTCCTGTTCGAATGCTTTCTTATCAGCAGGCTGCTCCCGGTGCGATGCTATCGGTCAGGGTCGTCGGCTCTTTGAGTTCGTCGCGGATACGGAGAGCAGGTTGCTCTGCTCCTTCTCCTTTGCTCCTGCTCCTGTTGACAGATTGTATAATTGGCGTTGAATTGATTCGATTACTGAGCGTCGCCTGTTCGCTCGCTCAGATTGCGTTTATTCTGCTTTATCTGCGACTGAGTTGCATGAAGTCCCCATATGCCCATGCGAGATTCTGTATGATGCAAACAGTAATTAGGTAATGAATCCTTTAAAAGGAAAATCTCGCATGGGGTGGCGGTAATTAAATAGTAAGGAACCAATTATTTGATTTATTTTTACAATACAACAGTACAGGAATTATGCGCAACTAATTAACTGGTAAAATCGCAATGCATAACGATGAATTTTCGTAGTGAAACCAATATTGCAACTTGCCATCGGTGCAAATGTACTAACTTAATATCTGAATCGGAAAAAGCTTTTCGAGTGTCGAATTACTTCATTAAAATAACATCGAACGGGGTGGAGTAGAGATTAAAGCCTGAACTATTGTCGAAATATTAAATATCAATTTAATTAGTGTTCGGAAGTTTATTAAATTTCCTAATTACGATTTAAATAGTTTATAGTCGTTATCACTACTTGTTGACTAATCAGCAGATATTGGGGGGACTTTTGGCAAGATAAGAAACTTTAACTGCTGACGAAAGTGTGGCGAATATTGGTGGTTTCCATCAATATACCTAAAAGAAGTGATCCTAGATGTGAAACGTAAACCATTAGTAATATAAAGTTAGATGGATAGGATTATTGTAAGCATATAATGATCTTCGCTTAGAGTTATTTATTGTCCTTTGAATGAATATCTTAAGGATTTTAGGTGAGCTAAAAACTTTCTGTCATATTTAGGGTTGTAACTATCATAGGACGTAGAATAATCCGTATTCGGTTTTTCGAAGGCTATACAAACACTTTTTATTTAAAATGCTCCTTTGAGTCATCAGTATTTTTTGGAATTTAAAAAAGACATATTTTGAAGGAGAACTATATCTAAACTCCGTTGCTAACTTCCCAGTCGACCATATGCATTTTCCCTGCAATGGAAGTCAAATATTCAACTTGGAGGCAAGACTCTATGCAAAGCGGACACCTGTTTTTGCAACACGATCGCTATTGTTGCTGCGGTGCTGCGATGTTGCTGCCGTGGATGTTGCAGCAGTTGTTGTTACAACGATGGTGGTGGTGCTGAAAAGTCCTCCTGCTTTTCCAACTCCTCCCCCATTTTTCACCATGCAACTCGGGCCATTTATTCAGCATTCAAAACTCGTCTAAATCTAAACCGAAGCAACATGTGTGTTGTTTGCCAGTGAGTGAGTGCCGGCTAGCTTTCAATGGGACACGTTTGGTGGGGGTGGTTATGGCAGTAAAGCGGGGGTGGATGGGGGGTGGTGTCCTCGGGGGGTGGCGCAGCCTCTGGGCCACCGACATATGTGTGAATAGCGAATGCTGGCAAAATATTTGCACGACGCAGCCTCGCCAAAAACACACGCACACATATTTAGAAAAGCTAACGGCAGCCGCAGCGCGTGTGGGCGGTTGCGCAACGTCGCTGTCGCTGCCTCTGCCGCTGCCTCAGTCGACGCCACTTGCATTGAACTCGGAAGTAGACGCAATAGAAATAGAGAATAAAAATAAAACCAGTTGGCGACGCGGGGCCAACATGCAACATTCGGCAGCATCAACATCATAACATATTCAAATCGCCAACAGCTCTGCCAGCGGCATTGTAACAGCAACGCCGACGTCGACTGCGCTGCTTTTACTCTCACGTGAAAAGCGATTTTTTATCACCGTCGCCGTGCCGTTGTTTTGATTTATTTCGCTGCTCTGCATCGCGTCACGAATTAAACTAAACAAGCGAAGTGGCACACAAACGGAACTCCCGACGCCGTCGATACTCAGGAAATACCTGGTATTTTGGAATGGTTGGTGTGATTCGTTCCCCTTCTGCATTCCACTTGCAATGATCAATCGATCGGTCGATTGAGACGCCAAAAGTATGCTGCGGAAAATGTCAGGAAACTTAGATCATAAGAGGATCGGAACTCGAAAAATAAGAAGGAATACATAAAGAATATAAGGGGATCTGAATAGGTTTATATACTTTGGAACCTATTTCATAAATCCTTAAAATAATGTTTATAAAAGTTAAGATACATCAAAACTGAGATTCCCAACTAAATAATAGATCCTAACACTTAAAATTGTAATAAATATATAATCCTTTCATGGATTAACATATTTTATATACTAATAAGTGTATATCATACTTCTTCACTTAAATGAAGTTTTTACCCCAAGACGATCACAGATCAAAACTCCGTAATATTTCCCTACCAATCCAATACAATAAGATTTCTTTATAGCCGTGGTACAGTCAGCACACCCCCGCAAACTACGAAAGTGGCGCCCGATAACCGATAGCGATAGCGATAGCGATAGCCCTCGACCAGTTGCATGTCCGTCATCAGCTGGAACAGAACCCGTACTACCTTTGTACCTCTGTCGATGGGGAACAAAAAATAAACCCCATTTTTCTCGCTCGCCTCGAAGTAATGACATCAGCGACTGCGAAGCGGCAGAGACGGAAGCAGCGGAGTCAGGATACGGGCAAAATATGCGACGCAAAATTGGTTGGGTCGGGTTGGGTAGGATTTTGGTTGGGTTTGTGTTTGCGGATGGGTTTGGGTTTTCGGCACGGCACTGCAGTGCCATTCCATTTGGCGAGCCAGCAGCGCAGCTCGAAAACAATCAGTCAGCGTTGGTCCGCAGCCTGCGACGGACTGCCCGACTTCTCCTGCGCTGACCTTCAATCAAGGAAAAGAGTTTGCTTTTCGCCTTTTAGCCAGGCGAATTAGAATTGGCGCGCTTTTAGCCGTTTTCGGCCAACCTATGAGATTTTATTTTATTTCGCATTTATTTTAGCGACTTTTTTGGGCCAAAAGAGATAAGCTCGGCGAAAAGCGGGGAAAAAACAAAAAATGTTTCAAGGCGAAATTCGCACAGCAATCTTGGCAATAGCGCATAAAATAGCACAGAGCGCACACGAAGCGGGCGAAGCAAAAAGTACCTGGCAGATACAGATACGACTGCCAGTGTGCGGAGCGAACCAGTCAGCCAACATCTGAGATACAGATACGAGCGCACCGCTGAAATAAACAAAAATGTTTCAACAAAAACGAGGGGATGGAGAGGAGGGTGGGAAGAGACGAGAAAAGACGACGCCGACGTCGCCAGCGAAACACAGCAACAGCAACTCGAGTTCAGTTTTGCTTTTCACAGCGAGCGTTTCAGTCGCTTTGGCTCAGTTTGCTTTGTCGCTGCCTTCGCCGCATACCACTCACATACATCCGTACATACATATGCCCATGTGGAAATGTACCTTTATATAAACGAAAACGAACGACCCGATACGAAACGAAACGAAATCCCAACTGACAAGCAAGACTGACACACAGATACACGCACACACGGCGGCGAGAGATACGTCGTTGGTGGTATTGGTGTAGACTGTTAGTCAGCGCTTGTGCGGCACAGGGTTGCCATATGGCAGGGAATCTACTGCTTGGCGGGTTGGGAAAACTACTGGGATTCTTGATAGGTAGATCATAAGATCATTATATTCGTTTTTCAGGATACCTAAAAAAAAAGAGCACCATCTAAGTTCTTGTGGATAGCCAAGAATATTGAATAGATTGTAAATATATGTGGATCTTCTCTTTTAATTTGCAATTTTAGAAAACAACAACCTTAAATAAAAATGTTAAATTTGGATTAAATAATGCATTTCTCAGCCATTTACGATTTAAGAGTTTCGTCTTCTACCCGCTATCTATTCCAAAAATATTTTCAAAAACAAATTATTTTTATACCCATAATGAAAATAACAACATAATAAACAAATATAAATTTACTTTCAATGACTAAGGATGAACACTGGTAGATTGTATTGCTATCAATACTTATGAATAAGCATGAATTATAAATTTGTATTGCCGCTCTATAAATTCTTGGAATATGAGAAAGTATACTGCAAGTATACTTTGAGAAATTATAAAGTGTAGGCTTTAAGTACAATCATACAAATAAAATAACCCCCTTTCGATACCACCACTTTTCAAAACTCAATTGATCGCTTTCTGAAATGTCAAAAACCCAATCGACTTTCAAATCGAGCCGGAAACTCTGGCAACGCTGCGTGTATCTTTTGAATACCCGCTCCCACAATCGAACCGAACGAACCGGCGGGCCAAAGCGCCTGGTTTGGTTTGCTTTGGGTTTGCACAACGTTTCGCTTCGCTGTTCGTAGTTCGTTATTCCGTAGTTCGTTATTTCGTTGTTGGGATTTCTGCCTTGCGTCGCTGTGTGCTGGGCTAAAAACTGGTGGCTGGCAACGCCGCTCGGCCTCACACACAGCTGGCAATGCCCCTGTATTGTATTGTGTGCTGTGTGCTCTCCTCTCCCCGCTCTCTCCTCTCACCCCCGCGGCTCTCCAAAAACTCGTTCAGTTTCAATGCTTTTACATAAGTGCGCGTCGTGGAAGAGAGACAGCGGCATAACCGCTCTCGCTCGCACTCGCACTGGCAGGCGGACGTTGCTTGTACAGGGGTGCATTTACTTGCGCTGGTGTGCGTGCCTGGCGTTTGGCTGCCTGCTGCCTGCTTCTTGAGCGCCGAGCGTTTTATTTGTGATTTTAGCACGGCGCTGCGAGGTCCACGTCGCTCATTCGCTCCGTGCCCGCTAGACAGCTCCAATTCGAAAACGACGTAAACGTTGTTCAGCCCCGTTCGTTCGCCAAGCGCGCGTAATTCAAAGTTATCAATACTCGAAACACTGTTATTCCGGATCGGTCAAAAGTGCAGAAAGCATCGCTTGAAAGTGCATGAAAATATCTTGAAATCAACTGGAAAATATTATATTCGAAATAGTGAACAAAACAAGAGTTCGATCTGCCATGTCGTCCAAGTTCTGTGATGCCGCTCTGGGTCGCTCCTACGCCTGCTCGTCCCGCTTCCCTTCGGGACACCTGCTGGCCGCCCTCTGATCCGCCCAGGACCACGCCCACTGACTGACAGGGATCGTACCGCCCTGAACACACAAAAACTCCAAAGCGTTACCTTTTTTTTCGTTTTCCATCTATTTGGATATAAACGTTGTGAAACTGAGAACGGCCCAGCCGAAAATGTGCACTGAGGTGAGTGTCTCGAAAGTCCTTTCAAGATTGGGTTCTGAACTATCTATAAGAAAATTGGGGTCTAAGGGGATTTTACAGAGAGAAAACATAATTTTGCTAGTTTCAGTGATCATATCTTGAGATAGTAAAAAAGAGTTAAAGAATCTTAAAGTGTACTGGTATTATAAATTGAACATGAACATATTCAATATATCATTTCACAAACAGTTTCTAAATTTAAATAAAAGACTAATATTTTCGGGAATTCCCGGTTAGGAGTTCAAGTGAGATTAGAGCGTACTGCTCAAGTTCCGAGTAATTTCAATTCCTCAAACCGACTTATCAGCGACTTCAACTTGCCGCAAGTTCAGCAGTTCGTCTTTGGATTGATAAGGCGCGTTTGAGGTTGCGCCTCCGCCAATTGGGGAATAGGAATCTCTCAGGTGGCATACCGCACCTGCAATGCCGCCTTGCGAAATGCGCGTAGCTTCAACATGTGGTTTCCCACCAGCTTATTGGCAAATGCGTGGGCGGGTTGTGTTTGCCTCCTAAGTGGGTGGTGGATGTGGTGCTCTGGGCATGACATGCAAACTTAGTTGGGAGGATATTGCGAGTCGAGGAATAGGTAGGGGTTATCAACAACAAAGGAACATGGCAGCGAACCCAAGAACAGCAACAAAGCCCGCTCTCGGTGGCTGCTGCCATTCAGCAATGTAAACAATGCACAAGTTGCACGTGCAGCCAGCAGGCTGGCCAGTGCCCCCTAGAACCCCCAAAACCCCCTGCCGAAACACAGTAAGAAATGAGGTAGCTTAAGTGGTGTCTAGTCGAAACCATTAATGTAAAGACGACATGAAATGATATAATTTACCATGTTAACTTTCTATTACCATGTCTTTTCTTTTAAAGATTTTTTAGTCTAAGGATCTATATTTGTTAACTGTATCTTAGGCACACAAAGCCAATTTCACATTAATACAACATCTTGTTATTTCCATACCTACTTCTAAAATATCAACAAACTGTAGTGACTATCATTGGTAAACATGTTTACTAGACTAAAACAAGAGTTGTGTTTTTTTGATACTCGGTAATTTGTGGGGTTCCCCGTATCTTGGTGCAAACACTTGCCTGCTTTTCAGTGCAGTAATAACAGTCTGAGCTGCTGGCTGTCGGCTGTCCTTCTCCCTCGCACTTTGTGACCAGGCCAGGCATCATGCAGCGCCATCTATTGGCACACATTCGCACAATATGCTAAATAGCCGCTGCCAGCGTAGCAGTCGGCGTCAACGTCTCAGTCGCGTCGCTGTCGCCGGCTAAGCCGCTGCGCTACGTCGTCTAATGCAACGCAACAATTGGACAGCAGCAGCAGCAGCAAAAGCGGCGGCAGCAGACAGCTGACTTTTGGGGCCGTTTAATTAATTACATGCAAACGCTCTTTTTCGGCTCTCCCTCATGCTCGCTCTCTCTGCCCGCCCTCTCTACTCCCCTTCATCATCTCCTCCTTCTCGTACTCCCCCGCAGAAAACAGCAACAAACTTTTCGGCGTCGCCGTCAGCGTCATTGCTCTGTTTACGTTTTCTCTTTCGTTTGGCGGCAGCGGAGCAGCTCGTATTAATTTCTTAGTTCTTTCGACAGTAAAGAAAAGTTTTACAATGCGTTTGGGTCATGGGAAATTTGCCGGGCAGTTGGTGGAACCAAAATAGAAACTGTAAAATATGTTATCTCTCGAATAGGTGGATTGTGTGTTCAGGTTTGCAAGATCTTAATTTTATAAGTGTGTTGTGAGGTAGTTTTGGATATCGTATAAAGTCAAAAACTATTCAGATCAATGGGGTAGAGTCTTTTTCGGTCGGAATACTATTACAAGCACCTATATAAACCTCTTCCCCAAATAAAGTAGTCCAAGTTTTACCACAATAGCCTCTGTAGAGGGGGAATTATAGGGAGTAGGGAACTCGAAATTAAAAAGTTATAATATTCTCACTTTCTATTGCACTCTATTTAGTAATTATTGACATCATATCTTCTTATCCTATCCGTAACCAATAGAGAGTTCAAATCTTCAAGTGAGGATTTGTAAGACCTCTCTTTCTTCGAGTGCTATTTTGACTTGAGGAAGTTGCAGTTTGAGTGGAAGTATCATTAAGAAAAAAGACCTTGCCTGGCACCTTTCTCTATTGCACAATGATCCATTTTGATAAATGCAACTCACACCTTAACCACCATCGATTGTTTATCTTTTTCCCGAAGCCCGAAGGGCATTTCCCAGTCGTTGCAGTCGTTGATTCTTAGCGCCTTATCTTTATTCCTTTCTTGTTCTGCTTTTTTAATTGTTCTTTATGGTTATGTGCGCTGAATGCTCTTTTTGTTGTTGTTTTCGTTCCTCTTCGTCGTTTCGCCTGCTTGTTTGGGGTTTTTGGGGTGGTGCAAATTCCGGCACGAGACTTAATTCACTTAATTGAGCAGGCAGAGGAGTCGACAGAAGCAGAGACTGCGACTGAGGCAGAGACTGCGGCAGAGACAGAGGGGCAGAGCCACTGGCCGCGTGGCCTGGCAAATATAATAGTTTGGAGTTGGCGCCGGACCGGCATGGCACGGGATACATGGGCCGCCTTTGGTGATTTTACTTTCAGATACATTAACACAAGTGCGCTGAAATGCGCGCGCCTTTTGAGTTATTGGTAGCAGAGGCAGTAGCATCGACGTCGGCAGCGCAGCCTCCTCCTTGGTTGCCCATTTTCTTTGGCTCTTCGATTTTATGAATGAAAATCGCGACTTGGTTGGTTTGGTTTTGGTTACGCTTTGGTTGCATATACCATATAGCCGCTGCTATATTTGCATGAGTGTGTGCGTGTGCCTGTTTGTGAGCAAACGAAGGATACGCACACACATGTGTCTGGATGTCTGGGGCAGCCATAAAATAAATGCCTTCAGGGGGCTTAAACCCCGCTACCGAGAAGAGGGTGTACGTATGTATTAATACCATTATCCTTGGATGCCCGGGCTCCCTTAATTTGCCCTCGCATCTTAACTTGTTGCCGGCTCCTTGGGTCAAGTGCAACACGAAAACGCAAATTGCTCAATGAAGAATGTATAATCAAATAAAAAAGAAGAAAAAAGGAAGAGGAGTTGGTATTTCTTTTCATTTTTCCTTCGTTTGTTGTGGTGCCTGTCTTCTAAAAATGTAAACAAAAGACTGCTAAGGAAACGGGGAAAGAGTGCTGGCACCACGTCGCATGAGCAATTTGGGTCCCAGTCACGACTTTTGTCATCCCGCAGGTGAAACAAAAAAGAATTCCAACCAAGGCTAAAGAGTTCGTAGATGGTGACTTGCCTGAATGGAATAGGTTTTTAGAGGTCTAAGCTAGCTCGTATTAGCCTTAACATAGCTGATCATTAAGAGTTTATCCCACAAACGTAACCTTATTTCTTAGCCTCCAATGAGATATACTTTGAACTGTTGCCAATTGCTTTATCATTGAACTTTTCTAATATCTAATATAGGTAGTTCCTCCACCCATCAATTAACACTACAGTTGTTGTATTAGCCACAATACCCCATATAACCGAGCCCCCTGTTAATGACTTTCGATTGGCCGAGGGTTAAGTTCAGAGCCCAAGATAAGAGGCTATCGTAAGCGGTGGGTTCAACAAACCTCAAGTTGGCTAGTTAAGGGATTTGAAGGTACATAGATCGCTATAGCGCGATTTCAGAACTTGTGCTTATCGCTGATGACATTGCCAACAGCTGTTTTGACCACAACAGAGAGCGTGGCAAGTTGTCCATATAGCATTTAGCTCTCGCTCTGCCTCTTTGGGGTCCCCTGTTGACCGATTGAAAGATTTGCTCGCACACATAGCTTATATGGCAACGCGGTCTTGACTTGACTTGGCTTGGCTTGGCTTAATGTATGCCCACACATCCACGGGCAACATACAAAGACAGCTGGCAGCGGCGAGTTGTGGCACGAAATCTTATCAATGAATGCGCATCACTTGCACTTGTTTGCACCACCTAAGGGGGGAGATGAGTATGGCTATATGGCTATATGGCTATGGGTTCGGGGAATTACCGGCTGGCGACGACGTAAATGGTTCGACGATGACGACGACGACGGCCGTGTGATGATGACGTGACTCACAGACGGTCCAGAGAAACAACAACAACTGCATCTACACGTGCAGTTGTCCAACTACCAATGCACTTGCACACGCACACCATTAGCATTATTAAATCGCCAGCCGCAAATTTGCGGTTGCGTCACCTACTTAACACGCGGACCAGGGGACCATGGACCATGGACGATGGCCATCCAGTTGGGAAACTAAGAAGGGTAGTGGAAAGGGGGGGTGAAAGAAATAGAGACAGAGCAGCCTCCGTGAGTTTGCTTAAGGATAACAGCACAACGAGAGCGCCTGCGAAAATTTCCATTAAGCCAAATTAAAGTTATCGTGAGCAGAGCAGCAGCAGAGGCAGCGGCAGAGCAAGGCTAGCTGCCCTCTTGGCACACCACTGTATGGTCCACCCCAATTCACCACCCACCCAAGCACACTGGCAGAAAAATAGTTCTTTTTTGCGCAGGTTGATATCATTAAAAATGACTAAGTTCTGGTTAAAATAACCAAGGGTTAAACATTGCGTTTTAAGTAAAAATATCTTGAAGATGCTTCATCGTTTAGACACAGACCTTATAGACCAAATCTATCTATGCATATTTAAAATCCCGTATGATTTGATTTTCTTCTGTGCACTTTTCTTCGTCCTGCCGCCTCGTCTGTCCTCGCTTCCATTTTCATTTCTCTCATTGCTGTTCTCTCTGACAACCGCCCCCACCACCCACACCCAGCCAAAAAAAAGGGGAAGGTGGTGGAGTGGTTGGAAGCATTCCATCTCTCTTTCTCTCTTCCGGCAACTCTCTTTCTCTTTTACTCAGCCCACGTAGTGGTGTACGTGCAATTGGAAAAGTGGTTTTCATACTAGTGGATGGCCCAAAACCACCACCACCAGCGCCGACAGC